ACAAGGGAGAAGATCAATCAGTAAAGCTAAGAACGTCAATTGACTTTCAATAAAGGTAAGTTTCCTTCTTTGCAAAGAAGCGTTTGCTTCATTGAGGAGAAAAGTATTTATAGTTGTATATTTAATTTTTTAATTTTAATTTTTTTACTACTTTAAAATATTAAATTTTATTTACAAAATATAAAAAATTAAAATTTGAAATGCATATCGAGAGGTAAAACACCTTGAATTATGCATTGCCTTTTAGAAACTTTGCATGAGAGAGACAAGTCAAATGAAAAGGTATGTAACATAGGCAGGGCTACACGGGCGACGCTACCTACAGGTTGATGGAGGCCAATCCCCCCATCAACCAATCAGAAACACTTACAAAAATATATATATATATTACTAATGTTTTTTTTTTCAATATGATTTAGCCTCATTAAAAAATTAAAGGACCCCACCATATAATTTAATTTCAATAAATGAATAATTACTTGATTACATATATATAAGAAAATGTGTTTTGACATTCTTGACAATAAAGTTAATATGCTACAAATCTAAAAAATAAGACCTCATCAAATGAAATTGTAAAAGTATGTTATTTTTTTGTTAAGACTATAGTATAATATATTTGTAATTTATTTTACTTAAAGTTTGAGAAGTATAAAATCTCGTTTGGATTTTGATTTTTTTTTATTGTTTTTTTATTTATTTACATTTTGACCTTTTTTTTATTTATTCTTTATTTTTTATTTATAGCTTTTTGGCTTCTTTTTTAAAAATAAAAAAATATAAAACCTAAAAGTTGTTTAGTGTAATTTTCTTTATTTCTTGTCAAATTGTAGAACTTGAACATGTGAGGTGACCCGGTCTGTAAATATTGCTGGAGTCGCCACTGGAGGGATATGAAGGTGTTATCAAATGCAGATAGCTTGAATCTCTTTTAAAGGGGCAAGGTTACAATGTCTCAATTCACATTATGTTTAGCAAGGTGGAAGACATGTTTCTCTTCTATTTGCTATATAAATACCAAAAGTTGGAATTGAGCATAATCAAACAATCATTATGCTAAGAGGTTGTTTGGATTTTGACTTTTTACGAAAATATCTGAAATGTGATACAGAGATAATGTAACTCAAATAAAAGGTAACATGACATAAATAAGATAAAATGATGTGACCCAAATAAGAGAGGTATTTATAAGAGCGATAATGTGACCTAAATAAAAAAAAAAATTAAAATGTTCGCGGTTTGGCCAATAGGGTTCCTGCCTGCCCGCAACACTTTAAAGTTATAAATTAATTTACCTGACCTGCTATTTCTATCTCTATCCCTATATATAGGGCATTAAGAGTAAGTAATCCTTGACACCCAACCTGTTATTTCTATCTCTATCCTTATATATAAGGCATTAAGAGTAACGCTTGACACAAATATTCTATCAAAAATTTTATTAAATGTCTTATATGGGTGGAGAACTCACACAAGGTAAGTCCCCTCCGCTATGGAGAACCCACATAAATTTAGTCTTCCACGTTTGATAAAACTTATAATTCACAACTTAAAAAAAAAAAAAAAAATTATGTAATATATGCTTAAATTATAATTCTTAATTATGATCTATCATATTCTTAAATTATAAGACTAATGAATGACACTATCAAGGTAATACATCTGTCATGGTAAATGGTATACATTATAAGATTAATGGATGAAACTTGGAGAATAAATATAAAAAAAAGGTTATATTATATTTATATAATATAAATATTAAATTATTTCCAATTGTAAACCTGTGAGATCATAAAAAAAAAGGGATGTTTAGCGGATATTCCGATTTACCCAAACCGATCGATCCGTCGTATTTTGGACGGATGCGTGATGAGGAGCAGACGGCTGTAGATTGATTTTTTCCAATCTGCTTAGTTTTGGACGGATGACGGATTTGAGGTACTTTTGACCGTAACCTATTGGCCAAACCGCAAACACCCCTAGTAATTTGTAAGATTTTGTACTTTCAATTTGTTTAGATATTCTATTTGTGTTTTCAATTGAAAAAGAGTTTAGATATTCTGTTTTGTTTTCAATTTAAAAATTCTTTTATCAAATGACAAATGCTAATATTTGATATTTTTGTGTGAAAAATATAAGGCATAATTTTTCATTTTTTAAAAAATCAAATTAAATAATTTTTGAATAAAAAAAGTAATGAAATAATTTTGATAATGCATGATATTCTTATGTGTAGTTATTATTGGTATTTGACAATATACTTAATAATCTTTTAGTTATGTTGAGTTGGATTATTATCCCGAAAAAATGTTTATAAGTTGTTGTATTATGTTCAAACCGCCAAACTAATTCACATCCATCCGCCAATCTACTCAATTCGGTGAATGGATGCTGATTGATTTTTTCTAATCCGCCAATTCGGTAGACAGATGATGGATTAGAGGTTTTCTGGCCGTAACCAAACTGCGAACACTCGGCACTTACAAGGAAATCATCAACAAGTTTGCATCAAATTAAGAAAAAATCTTGTGTAAAACAAAGGAAAATTCCCAAATAAAGCACTAAAGATAAGCTATAGATAAGTTTAGACATAACATTCATACTGCAAAGTAGAGATCGATCATAAAAGCTTGACATTAGAATAAGTCTAAGATAAATACATAAATTATATCTATACTGTGTGGGTAAGCTAAGAACGCACCAAAACAAAAAACAAAACACAAAACACAAACCCTAAAAACCCATAACTCCAGGTAGTGGCGGCAACGGATCCGCCGGTGTAAAACGGTGGAGCAGGATGATGGCGGCAAATCTAGGAGAAGAGCAGTAGATCCGGTGGAAAGAGAAGGCGAATAGGTGGTGATGATGGCCGAAACAAGAGATGCAGAATATGGATGCGACGCCAGAGTGAATCAGTGGAGAATAGAGGCGGCGGATTCGTGAAGGCCATACCGAAGTAGAAGCAATGGGAGATAAACACCTCACAAAGGAGGGAGAGGATGCAAAGCCCAAAGCTTCCAAGTTATTGTGTAAAAAGCATGAAAAAGAAAGAGAGAAAGGGGTAGGAGAGAAGAGGGGAGGCCGAAGGCTGCTAGAAAACCCCTTCCTCCACCCCAGTCACTGCTCACGCCTAAACCCTAAGGAGAGAAAAGTATAGAGAGAGAAGCTCTCAAAGTTAGAGAGAGGCCCCATAGGTGGAGTATAATTAGAGAATAAAAAAAATAGTATAATGAGTTATAATTATTAAAAAAAAATTATAACCAAACACACAAATGAGACATAATTAAATATCTCAAAATAATATCATAATTAAATTTTAAAAAAATAACGTAACTAAATGTATATATGGTATAGGGTGTGCATAATATAATTCTCCTAAAAAATTTTAAAAGTCTTATCCTAGTGCATAAATAAAAGACAAAAAATTTGAAGAGTATAAAATACTTTTTATTAAATTTGATATACTTTTATTGAAATTAATACCCTTTTTAATAGTTTTACATATTTTCAAGTAACTTTATATATACTTTCTAACATTAAATAATGTATAGGGGCACTTGTTAGTATTTGCCAATTTTAAATTGGGGTAAATTACATTTTTTCCTTTTATATTTGGCCACTTTCTAACATTGTCTTGACCAGGTATTCCCAAATGGCCAGTAAACAAAAAACCCGTATTACCCAATCTAACCAATCCATTCCATGACCTGTCCCAACTCGTTTGAGTGACCAACCCATCCCAATCCATAAACAGATTATTTAGAATTTTGGACAAAGGTGTGTACTCCGACCTTGCCCATAAACTTGGACTGTAAAAGTCTGCATGGGTAAGTCTAATGTTTAGTTTTATTTTTTGGGGTCTAATGTTTAATGTGGGGAAATATTTTTGGGGTTGTCCATGTGACCGAGGTCGTTAGCCTAGGTGCCACGTGGATGGACCAAGTCATCGAGATATGATGTGATCATATTTGAATCCGAGATATTCGGATAGAAGATAAGAGTCCTAGATGACATTAACCTATCTATTTGGATAAAGATGTGACTCTTGAAGATGTTTATCTTAATCTAAATAGTATGAGTTGTGATAGATGCTATCCTTCTAAAGGATAGACCCATGAAGTAAGACTTTTAGGGGAAGTTGAACACTGATTATTATAAAAGTAAGGTACCAATGTGTGTCTAAGGTATGCTTTTACTTGTGCATTAAGTACTTGTTTGATATCTCTGATAGATAAGATTGACTGACTTGATTGTCAAAGTGCCCTCAGATGGACGAGTCACCGTGGTATTCTTGTTTTCTTGTTGGCAGGAGCTTGGTTTAATCTATTCTGTTGCGTGCTCTTCAGCTAAGTTTCCTGTTTAGTTGTGAGGTCGAAAATCAACACTTACAATTTGGCACCTGTAGCCCGACTTTCCGTGTTTCTTTCGGAAGGTGAATAGTCCTACAGTTCGGACTCTACTTGTGGTTCTGAATCTGATTTCATAAGTGTAATGTGAAATAGTGAAAACACAAAAAGAGTCCAAATCTAACAATTCTTTTTGGAAAATCAATGTTTGAACCAAATGCCAAAAATAGACTGCTTTGCCAAATTACAGAGTCGCCACCTAAATATTTTTGAGAAATTTAAGAAATCCGAGACTCGTGCCAAAGGTCATTAGTCTGTCATCACTAAAGTGTCTCGGCTTAGGAACTTAGGTACGAGAGGGGAGGGTCATGAATTGAGCACCCCACTCGCCCGATCAAAGATCAGCCTCTATTAATCATGATATGTTTTTTACTTACATTATATGCTCTTGTTCTGGTTTATTATCTATTTTTACTATGTGATGTGCACACAAGGTATAGACTAGTTTGCAAGATTTGGAACACTCGATTTCATGTTTTGTTTCAAAATTGTTTTGTGGATTTGCTACTTGAAAAAGTGGGCTAAAATGGACATTAATCAAGCCATCCTAATTCAAGCAACTAGCCTTCATCCATAGGTATTCAAAATGAACAGATTGTTATTAGAATTATATCTACCTACATAACAAAACAACTCAACTCAACTTAACTCATTGCATCTTCTTCTCAATGGTTTCGTTAAAATGGCATTCAAAATCTAGCAGAGAGCTCCCAAGCTTTAAATCGACGCAAGCTTGCAGGACCTGCATAGAATAGGCCAAACTCTCAAATAGATTACCAATTAAAAATTATCCAATAATAGATTAATTTAATAAATTGCAATTTAATGTGCCGATTGTAGTATCTGAAGTTCAATTACAAACATTACTCCAGTGAAAACAATTCCTTGTAGAACAGTAAGTAAAAGGAATAACTCCTATGAAAAGTGTAATTATGCAAATATATATATAGACAAAAAGGAGAATATTGTTCTAAATCGCCTGCCACACTCCCACGTGAGATACATGTGGGCCTCACACAAATGCACCCCACTGTTTGTCTCTCATGTGATACGTTCTTCAAAAAAATTCTGTCTACTTATAAAAATTCTAAAGAGTAATGCAAGAGACCTCTAAAAAATAGTCCCTAAATTTACCCCTAAGGTGGTATAAATCAGGTCCACAGCTGGTATACATGCAGCAAGTTGTGATGAGTTCAAAACTAATCCTCAGAAATTGTCTTCGCCCACTCATTATTATGTAATCCATTTCCTTCAGAGAGAAAGAGTTCAAAACTAGTCCTCCCCCTTGCTCATAAATTAATGTAATCTTATCTTATAAAATCACTCTAGAAAGTTAATACTCACAATTTTCTAGAAAAGTGAATGTATAGTCCTTTCCTCTTATCTGTGTCTGCTGGGCACAGTAAAATGAGAAGTAGACAATTGTTTTTATAAACTGTTCAAGTGTGTTCTCCACTTCCTCTTTAGTTCCTAGATCTGGAGGTGATAAGAGGAAAAGTATCTGATCAGTGCTTTTCTTGTTGCCATGTAGTCAGCTTAGAGAGAGTTTCTAAACCTTAATTTCCAGCATAATTTCTATTGACCTCATCAAAAACTTAAAAACCAAATTTAACACAAACAATCCAATCATATTAATATCCTAAGATTTAACACAAACAATCAAAAGGGACCCAGATCAGGTGCTGCTGCCTTGAAGAAAACAATTCAGAAGATACTAAAAGCACAGTGATGTATAACCTGTACTAGCATATACATGCAATCCAATCATATTAATATCCTAAGATTCATCATATTATTGAATGAAACAAATATCAATTACTCAAACATTCTGAAAAGATGACTTACTAAGAAGAAGAATCAGTAGAGGGTACTCTTTGACTGATCTGCTGCATCAAGAAGTCGACTTTGGCATTGTATTCCGTGCGATCTGACTCCAAGATTTGAATTCTTCCCACCAGCTCCTCATTGATTCTTCGTTGCTCTTCAGCCTCCCTTGTAGCAGCCTCATTATCCCTCTCGAGTTGGGCACGGGTAAGTTTTCCAGATAATGTTGTACTTGGTTTTCGACCACGCCCTAAGCTGCGTATGTAGCCAACTTTTTGTCCAAATACCTCAATAGAAAGTTGCTCATCAGATATCGGGCAAGATCCTTCTTCAATAGCTTTCTCTTGCCGCTTTTCAAGCTTGTACTACAATATTCATTAGTTGAGATAAAATTAAGTATCCATCCACATTTTATTAAGGATATAAGGAATGAAAGTACATAAAGATTGATGTGTTACATGTCTAATCTCAGCATCAGCATGCACCCATGCCTCTTTTTTCTCACTGAAATGCGTCTTTTTGTACAACTCAACAAGTCCAAGTTCCTCTCCAGTGGCACGGTCTTGCTGTGCCATTTATAGCACACATTAAACCTCAATATAGATTATGTTGTTCAATTACAATTACAAAACATAAATTATAGATTCTATAATTAATACCTCATCATATTGCACTTTTCTGAAGGCCTTTGAGCCAGCAGTGTGGAGGACTTTCAACTTCTCCCGATTCAACTTATTCTTGCCACATCTCACCTATTATTAAATGCATAAGTCAGAGTACAAAGTGTTTCTTTTATTATTAAACATTTCTCATCTACAAGAAATATAGAATTGGAGATAGCAGGTTGAAATGGGTTAGTAAATTGTAGAAATGGGTCAGTTTTATGGATCAATTTTCTCCAGTGCTCTATTACGCTATATTCCCATTTAAGAAAAATTGTGTCTTCTTCAAAAATTATAACGCACTCTTTATCTTTCCCGTTCCTTCAATGCTTCCAACCATCTCATAAATCTGCGCTCTCCAGAGAGGTGATCAACCCAGGGTCTTTCCCTCACAGCTCCACATACCCTCTAATTTTCTTAAAAGGTTTTGTGCAATCTATATTATAAAGAGTGTGACAATTTGTCTAGCCACGCACTAGTCTGCTCTTAACTTACCCCAGCTGCGTGAAGTCAGATAGAGACTTTACATATTATCACATACCTGAACAATAGTGTGGACGATATTTAAGCGAACGACCACATTGGGTTTTTGGGTATTATCATATCCTGATACTTCACCAACATTTGGGGTTACTTTTCTTTTCGAAGAAAGTCAGGAGAACATTTACTACCCCTCTTTCATCCGTTTTTGTTCTCTCAGTTTTGGTCTTTTGCTAAAAGGTGCGTATGGAGGGGTGTGGAAACCTCGGGTACCTCTAATTGGGTACAATTTTGGGGCTTGCTACGTTGTATCTTATGAACCCTGGATATAACTAGAATATAATTTGTACATAGCCGATTACCTCTTTCGGAAGTTGGGGAATCTAATTTGTGTTATACTTGACACTGAAATCATGACAATTTTGGACGAACATTACATATGGATTAGAATGGTTGTAGTAAAGAATGACGTAATAGATTAGAAATAGATCACCTGCTACCATTCAACCTAAGCGCTTGTAAAAGATTGACTATGTTGATATATTCTGTATTTTCCAAGTCATGAAAAGATGAACTTTGTTTAAGGCGACTAATAACCTGTGGAGGCTTTAGTCTCGTGATAGTATGACCCGGTGACTTGTTGTAGAACCACCATAATGCATGTGGTTAGGAGACATTGTGAAAGACCTGATTAAAAAACTAAGTGAGATTCGGTATCTATTATATATGGCATTGTTTACAGTCTATCTGCTTTCAATAAAATTATACGTTCTTGTTCTGACCTTGTTTCGAATTAAAGACATATAAGATACTAAGTCATAGAATGACTATCCTACTTGAATATTTAAGACACAAAAATCACGTTGTAGATATTGATTTGTAGAGTGACCATATTCTTGAAGTCCTTAAAAGCTGCAATGCATTTGCCCATATTGTAGTGGGGGACTAGTGAAATGCAACTCGCAAGATAGGGCTTTGTCTGAGAAAGCTCATTGGATAGCGTTGCAAGGGCTGACTAATAATCCAGCCGCAGACGTGTCAATACTCGGGGACAGATAGGGGATTTGGTCATTTGCAAAAACGTCCTTAGTGCCACGGGGGACATAATTAAGACAACCAGGCTGCAATTTTTCTGTGTTCTGGGGAAAGTTCGCTTAGCTTAGCGCATAGAGGGGACTTAAATATGGGGGCAACTTGCAATTCCCATTCAGCATCTTGTCCTTAGAAAGTCCTTAGCCTGGCGCAGGGGAACTATAATTGCACACTTGGCCTACCTTCTTTTGTCTTGAAAGTCCTTGAGCTTTGCGATGCTGGGACTATACTGCAACTGCATACTCAATTTGAAGTGTGTTCTTTAGAAAGTCCTTTAGTTTGATACAGCGGGAATAATGCACTGCCACTCACTAAATGTGTTCTTAAAACTTGTTGGAAATTGTCATCACCAGTATGCATCAAGTGTTTTGTATTTGAAGTTAGTTTTGAAGCTTGTAATAACATCCAAAGAACTTGAAAGGGAGTCCCCCCCACGGCATCATGAACTCTGATCTTTCCCCTTTGCATGTGTTAACGTAATGGCTTGACTGTAATAGTTTTGGAAGAGACATTCTTGATGAATACTATCATTGCAATAACCTTATATTTCTAATATCTAATTATTCACGTAGACAATATCAACCAGACTCCACTCCTCGTTTCTAGTATATATATGTTAATTTGGTTGTGAAACAGAAAGCGGCATTGAAGGCCTAGATGCTAGACTGGCGTATTTCTGTATTTTTGGAGCCAGCATTGCCCATCTGAGTACATAAGTTTTTGCGTTGATTAGGCATTTTTGCAAAGTAACGTAGTCATTGAATTATTCAGTTGAAGATCAAGGCTTCTCCGTCATGGGCTCTTATATGACCATTTGCTGTGTCCTATGATATATGATCTGGATCTTTTGAGCGCCTTGTTGTGTCAGATGTGATTTTGTAACATCATCTCTATTTCCTTAAATTGTACTTTAAGTGTGTATAGAACTTTATAAGGATTGTAGTCCATCATTTCATTTGACCTATGGCACTCTATGCTCATTATATTGACAACATCTTGGCTAGCTTGAATTATGCTTCGCTATATTTTGTGCAGGACCCCTCTGCTATTAATTAATAACTTTTTGAGCTGGGTTTGAGTAGAACGTTTTGTTAAAGTATCGGCTTTTTCTGCTTAGGACGGTAATCTCCTGGGTAGTTAGCGTTGGCCAATCCAACGGCCACAAACTACCCTAAGGGCCGTGGTATTGGGTAGCGTGACCGAGATGGTAATCAACAGTGAGCACATGCCGTTCCTTATTTTTAACTAAAGGCGTTATCTAGTGTGATAAGCACTACCTTCCAACGAACTTCTACGATGTGAGCTCCTAAAAGGAGAAGGCAACTATGGAATTGACACGACGTATAATTTCATGTTATTCCTGTTAGATTAATTTGCATGGCTAAATATGGTAGTTGCAGTCAATAATTGCATTGCTACTTGACTCCGTGTGCCCATCAAACTTCGGCAATGGACATTTGTGTACTACTGTATCTCCAACATTCTCTGTTTAGTTTATTTTTTAAGCCTACTGTCTCAAATCTTGCGAGTCAATCGCCCTATTTGCTATCATCGTAGGAGAGGTAATGTGATTCCTTCCCAGGACTGTGGTTACCTAGAAAACTCATACTTGTTTTGTCCAACTCGTTCAGGTAGGAGTTATAGATTGGGCATGATGGATTAGGAGAAAGGTTTAGTCGAAAAGGCTTTGGTTCGTCGGCCTAAGACCAAGCTGAGGTACACCCGGAGCAGACACGGATTAACTGGTATTAACGCTTTGGGTGTACATGTAACTCGTCTTACTACATCGGCCGAATAGCAGATACTCTAGAGTAATTGGCCGATATGCTGCAAAGACCGCCTTGCATCACCGACCTTCAAATTAATAACGTGTTTTCTTTATAATGCCAGTACCGTAACCAACAGTGCCTGATCATTACCGCAGCTAAGCTTTGTATGCGGAACTGATCCACAGATAAACAACCTATGGGATTTCAGATTTTTGAGAGTTTCAAAGGGAAAATGCACACCGTGCCCAACGACTTTTCCACTAGGGGCGGCATAGTAACCATGAAAGCGAGGCGTGGGTGTTTTTAGAAATGGATGAAGCTCGTTTACTAGTATCTACTAATTTCGTACCATTTTAAATCAGCACAAGACGCTAGAAGGTAATCTTCCCATCTGGCAAAGCAACTTTTGTTCACATCGTAGATTCTCTATTAAACTCGATTCGACTGCCCTGCAAGTGGTGGACCTGATGGCGTTACGAATTTAGAAGTAATACGGGTTTGACCTTCTGGCCAGATTCCTGGAGTTTACTTCTAAACTAAACAAATTTTCGCCAGTCACGTTTCGTGAATCGCACCTAAGGTATAGTGGTTCTTCTGGGATGATGAAAAGCAACCTCAACGGAGTATTCATATACTCTCTGAACATAGAAGGGATTACATGATCCAGTGGCAGTTTTAGTCGGAAATTCCCCCCGTGCCTACTTTTAATCCGCAAATTGGCCGAGGATGCGTCTTCTTCTACCATTTATAATCCTGGGTTGATTGCCGACCTATCGGAGGCGAGGAAAGTTTGAAAAGTTGGTGTTGCTGGCACGCGATATTCAATATTAGACGGAGTCACTTAATGCTCAATTACTGCCGACATATTTTTTCATCAGCTTGGAGTAACTAGACAAAATGGCTATCTTAGCCTGAAGCTATTAACCGATACAAGAATGTTCAAGTGAGGCTCAGAGGAGAGTACAGAA